GAGGTTTAACACCAAGTTCCGTTAACGACATAGGAGATAAAGCTTAAATATATACAACTCGGATGGTGAGGCGACAATGAGAGGATGAGGAGGAGACAGCGAGCGATGGCCAAAGGAGGAGGAGGTGACGATGAGTGATGGCCAGGGAGGAGGCGACGATAAGCAACGACCGGAGGAGCGATGGAAAACTCAGTTTTAGGGCACCGATTCACATTTTACTTTTTCTTTAAAAAAAATTCTACTGATTTTACTTTTTCTTAAAAAAGTTTTTATTCTTTCACATGCCCTTTGTAAAGCGTTACTAAAACTTTTTATTGAATTTTTATTTTCTTTTAAAAAATCTAGTTTTTAGAGATGTTTGTCAAAACGTCACTAAAGTGTTTTGTTTGACCATTTGAGAGGTTTTTTTAAAAACAGTGTCTCTAAAAGTTTAGAGAAGCTTATTGTAGGGTATAATTTGGTTCAAAATCTTTCTCTGAAATTTATAATACTTTTAAATTACGGATTTCATTTTTGTTGATCAATTCCTTCTCTAAAAGGCATCTTTAGATACACTTTTAAATCCGTCTCAAAAAGTTCCTTCTCTAAAACTTATTTTTCTTGTAGTGAACCTTTGATTAAAAAACGAACGACTCAAATGAGTTTGTAAAGGCAATACTGATTAATAGGCTAACAAATGATTTGGCGTCTCTATGTCTATATATATATATATATATATATATATATATATATATGTGTGTGTGTGTATCTATTATCTATATAGGGGTTGGTTCAAATGTTAACCAAGATTATCCTGTTAACTTTGTTAACCGATCTTGATCGTTAATTTGAATAATAACGGTTGTGATTTAATGATATTTAAAAATTAATTATTAAATTAATATTTTCAATTAACATATGTGAACAAAATATCAAAGGGTATTTACGTAAAAAGTAATATATCTTTGATACACGAGTTGTTAGATATATGAACAACTTGTGTATATCTTCAAACCACATCAAACAAAAAAGATTAGACATATGAACAACATGTGAACCGTATGAACATTTTTTGTATATTCAGGAGCCAACTCTGCTGTATGTACATGAACACCTATGAACCAAGGCATCTAGGGCTGTGTGTTTTCATACGTGTTCACATGTTTTCACATGTTCTCTGTGTGTGTGTATATATGTATTCATATGAACATCTAGTCATTTGAATATACATGAACACTTATGAATCACGGCATCTAAGGCTGTGTGATTTTTGATGTGTTCATATGTCAAATGTGAGAGCTGTCGATTAAAATAAATGTCAATTATAAAACATGAACATGTGTGAAACCCCAATGTCAATATTGCATCATGATCAATTGTGATATTTTCAATTTTGTAACTCCCAATTAATTATTTAGGGGTTACATAAAATGACAAATTACTTAAAGACCTTTTCATTTAATATACGAGTTACATTTGAACCAAAGGAAAAGAAGGAATATGATTGGTTGAGCTTGGTTAACATAGTTAACACAAAAAAAAATTGGTTGGTATTTGAACCAAACTCTCTCTCTCTCTCTCTCTCTCTCTCTATATATATATATATATATAGAGAGAGAGAGAGAGAGATTATCAAATAAGAATGCTAATTATTTAAGAAAATAAGACAATGGTCAATCATATGTAGTTTTACATTAATGACCAAAAAAAGGTGTCTAAGCGACTTTGGTCGCGTCATCACATGTGATTTTGCATGTGATGTTAGTATAAAATTATATGTGATTGTTTTCTTATTCTTTTTAATAGGTATTGACTCTCTCTCTCTCTCTCTTTATATATATATATATATATATATATATATATATATATATATATTAGATAGAGAGAATACAAACCAACAAGATGTCACAAACCTTACAAACCAATCTCAATCGTCCATCTAGTCTAATGAATATCTATAGGGTATATTTCAAATACAATCATGTTCATTTGTACAAACAATGCAACCCAATTAATTGAGATATTTATAAAAATGATGAGAGTTCATTTATTATGATTTGAATATTTATGAAAGATGAATAAAAATCATTAATTATCATCAATACTTTATATTATGAAACAATCAAAACTTCTATGAAATCCTATATTCATCAAATTAAATGGACGGTTGAGATTGGGTTGTATTGGTTGTACAAATGTTAATGGTTGTATAATAACCAACCTCTCTCTCTCTCTCTCTCTCTCTCTATATATATATATATATATATATTTGTTTCATAAATATATCAAAACTTTCTTAATATAAAATATTAACCATCTTCTTAAATTTTCAAAGCATAATAAATGAACCTTCATCATTTTCATAAATATCTTAATTGATTGGTTTGTATTTGATTTGTGCTTATATATAAGGATTTAATCATATCCGAACTCCAAACATTGTGATAATCGTGAGAACTTCTATATTAAGTTATATATTGTTTCACATGATTTTTTCTTATCTAAGGCTAACATTAATTTAATGAATTGATGAACATATATTTGTTTCACAAATTATTTGCTTCGTATGTATGCAGTTAACGTCGTAAAAAAAATTACGTGTAACTTTTGTTTAACAAACAGGCCAAAAAGGTTCACATTGTAAAATAAATATATCTTCATCGATATTCTAAATCCTAGTATTAGATGAAAACATTTATATGAAATAATACATGATGCAATAGCTCTCAAGGTTATCACAATTTCATGAATTCTCAAAAGCAGCACCCCCACTCCTATATATATACATGCAAATAGAAAAGTTTAGTTGCAAACCTAACTTCTCTTGAGAACTAAAGGACAACAACAATGCAATATGTTTCCTCATTTGCATTCATTCATCATGAATAATGAACGTGAATTTTTCGTAACATTCAAGATGAATGGTTACCCCATTTCTGATGAATGATACACGATTCATCATGAATGATACACTATTTATGACGAATATCTCGTGAATGTCTAGAACACGTGACACACTCTCATTTGTCCCCCTAAATACAACAGAAGTTAGGTTCCAAAGTGAACATACCCCTATATAGTGAGAAGTTTGAACAAAAATGTTAAATATCATGAGAGGGTAAGAATTGAAAATTCATATGAGAATCATTGAGCAAAATCCATTTGAAGATGTATATGTGAAACCATATGAATAATCTGTAACGTCAATTCACATATGCATATTCAAAATTTTATTTTGAATTTTCTCAGTAATTCATATATAAACTTTCATTTCTTATATTCTTAGAATATATCTGGTCTTTTTATTTGAACTGTCACTATATATTATTCAGTAATATATTTTCCTAATGAAATTTGGCATTTTTTTGCGACTTAAGATCTATAAACAAGAAACATGTGTGGAATAATTAAGAAAAGAGAATTTGTACACGTCTTATATGTAAACTCACTATCAAACTTTACATCATATAAAATGTTAGGAATTATTAAGGGGAAAAGTAAACAAAGTCATGTTATCTTCATGTGGATTGTCGAGGGTATAAATGAAAGAAAGAGAAATAAAGAGAAAAAGTGAATTATGAATTATTTTTTTTTATTAACCTGGATATTCAAATTGCTACGTGAGTCGACTAATTTCAGGACGATCACCTGTTTTGCAGATAGTTCGGAGTTACCGTATTTGAACCTCCGTGGCCACAAGGGGATTTGTATTCCTCCTTGGATTTGAACGTGAAACCTCAAGATACTTTTGACTTTTGAAGTCAAACTCAAACCAATCAGACACCACCCTTGTGGTTGTGAATTATGAATTTGTCGATTTGTTTTGATGTTTTTTTATTATTAGAGTTCTTGTATTATATTATTATGGATTTGGTAATTGTGAAATTTAATTTTCCATGAATATGGTACTTTTACCATAAACTATTAAGGAGTTTGTTAATTCGATTAAATCAAGGGTCATTTTATTATTTTTTTTTTTTCCTTTTCTAATAGAAAAAAGTAGAAAATTATATATGGGGTTAGGTTTAAGAAAAAAATTGCATACAATGAAAAATTGAGGAACACCTGGTAACCGTACATTCAAGACGATATGTACATATGCATCCAAGTAACTTGTAAGCAATTTGTCTTGTATACACATGTACATAACACGCACGCATGTATAAATACCAAGAAACCGCTTCAATTACTTGCATGCACATGTATATACCATCCAGACAAAATTTTCCAGAGTATTCCTTAGTTCTTCATTTTCTTTTTGGGTTTTCTCCTGAACCTCCCCCCTCTCTCTCTCTCTCTCTCTTTATTTATATATACATATATTATGAAATAATCAAAACATCTATAAAATTATATATTTATCAAATTAAATGGACGGTTGAGATTGAGTTGTATTGATTGTACAAATGTAAGGGGTTGTATAATAACTCATCTATATATATATATATATATATATATATATATATATATATTTGTTTTTACTTCAAAATAGAAAGAAAAAAAGGAAAAAGACAAGTAATTCAAATACGATGACTCGGGGCTATCTTCAAAGCAGGTGGTTGCCCTGGGATTAGTCGGCTCGCATAGCTGGTTGGATATCCAGGTCAATCAAAAAATATAAATATAAAAGTAGACTTTTATTTTTGAAAGTGAATACTTATTTGGTAGGAGGTAAACCAACCTCTTATTTGACTCTTATTGTTCTTCAAATCCTCAACAACGACGTTTCTTAAAAGATTAACCTTAAGCAATCATCTCTCTAGATCGATCCTTACCAAATCAATCCTCACCTCTCTCGGTTAGTGTATTTTAATAGGATGTAAATGTGTTAAACACCGTTAATGACATATTTTTGTTTAAATGAATGTTAATCATATAATTTAGATATAAATTTCACAACAATGATAAATACATGTGTGAAATTGTATAAATTTATCTATAAATTCAGCACTATAATTTTTAATGGGTAAAATAGACAATTTAAACAAATTCAGACGTTTATCAGTTTACAAAAATAAACAGTCTTATTGATTCAGAATTCATACTTCAGCATCCCACCTCATATAAATAAGAAGTGAAATAAGATTTCAGACTTCAGCAACTTTTAAAAACAAATGTAACCTTTATGTAAGGTGACATAGATTAAAGTTATGTTGTAACATAAGATTAATACAACTTCTAGTAAACGATTTCAATAGGCTCGAAACCATTCTTAATCGAAGCGATAACCGCATCGATAACCACTTGGGTCTTCCGACTAATGATCGGCCACTTCTTCTCCGGTTTCTTCTTGCCAATGCGAATTCCGTCAACCAATCGAGCAAATTCTTGCACCATCAACGCTTCCTGAGGAAGAACGGTCGGCATCTGGAACTCACTCGGCTCGGGCTCACACCCAAGTGATAATTCTGCCCACTTCGAATTTGCGACGGCATAAAAATGCCCAACTTTTTCCTTAAAGGGGATAACAAAGTCATGAACACGTAGGTTTCCTTTCGTTCCAAGGGCAATTATGTCCATGCACAAATTTGAGAGGAAGGAACAATAAAAGGTTGCTACTTTCCCGTTATCTTCCCATTTTAAAGAAGCACCACATGACAAGATTACCCCCGATTCGTTGTATTCGGGATCGCGAAGTGCAGTCACAGTTTTCGGAAGTTCATAATCATGAGCCCATAGAATGGCTCGTATACTATACCAACCCGCATCCCCAAGAGCTCCAAGGGAATCGAGATTCGGGTTTACACGGACATCGTTCTTTTGGAAGTCACCTTCTCCTACATACGTAAACGTGCTGTGGACCTATCGAAATCAAAATTAGCCATGAATTAGACCGTAAAATAAAGGGTAAATTGCATGCGAAAATAACTTATGTTATAAAGTGTAACATAATCTGACCTTTATTTTGGTATCATATTTTAAACATTTAAGTACATGATTTACATCAGAAAACGCAGAGCATAGTGTTTGAGATATCATATCTAAGATAACAAAATCAATGTTTTGAAAGTACGTTACAAAGAAATAGGAATAGGTTACGTTGCTTTTTCACGTAATTTGCTAAAAAATTATCGTACGGATGAAAGGAAGAACAAAACATACGGATTTAAGCTGCCCGAATCGCTGTTCATCGGAAAGGACCTCTTTCATCTTTGCAGTCCGCGGATGATGCATCCACATGGTACCATCCATGAACTGTACTCCACTTGATTCACATGCTTTCAAAATCGTATCCAATTCGCCGACGTTGAGCGCCAGCGGCTTCTCCAGCAAAACATGCTTCTTTTTCTCGGCCGCCAAAACAGCCCACCGGAGATGGAGGCTTGTCGGTAACGGGATATAAACGGCATCGACATCAGGATCATCCAATACGGCGTCGTAGGAGCCATAAACCTTGGTGGATTCCGGGAAGTGGTTTTCCGATGCAAAAGCAGTTGCCTTATCTAGAGAACGGCTGCCGATGGCGGAGATGGTGGTGTTTGGGGAGAGGAGCATTGCCCTTGATACCTTGCGAGCAATGTTAGCGCAGCCCAGAATTCCAAATCGGATCAGGGTTTCTGCCATTTTTTATGTTGGGGGGTTCTGAGTTAGAGGTCTGGTGCAGGTGAGAAAGTGGATGTGTATATTACTATATATACTCCAAATGGTGATAATTCTTTTTTTTTTTATTAATTAATCTCGATATCCATCCCGTTATGTGAGTCGACTAATTCCAGGGTAACCACCTGCAAAACTGCAAAGTAGGTAGTCCGGAGTCACCGCATTTGAACCTCCGTAGCCACAAGGGGATTTCTGTTTCTTCTTGGATTTGAAGCGGGAATTCCAGACACTTTTGACCTTTGAAGCCAAGTTCAAACCAAACCAATTAAACACTGCCCTTATGGTTATATCTATGTTTATGCATCTCATCAAGTCATCGAATACTTTTTCTCAAAGAATAAGATTTAGTGTATTTCAAATAAAAAGTTAAGGAAATTAAATATAGGGGCTATTTACCCAATTATTTACCTGGTCAAATTCGACACTATCACTTATCTTATTGGATAGGATATTAATCCATAAAAATGACATCTTATGCAATAATTTAGCTGGTAAACGTTGGTCGGGTAAGAGTCATCACTCTCAGTTACCCGGTAAAACACACGGTCCTTGCCATTGCTCTACCAGGTAAGATTCTTAGCCCTTGCCAATTGTCATGTTCATCCAATAAAATAATGTGACTTGGTAAGCGTTTATCGAGTAATGAAGCGTTCGGTAAATAACTCCTTAACCTTGAGTGTTCACACATTGAATCACTATTAGATTAAGATTACCAAATCACTCATGTTATGATCTTCTACATGCTAAGTCTTCCCGTTTCATCATCTGCCATCAGAAAAGCTTCCGTGGCCAATTGGGTCCCAAAAACAAAGAGAAGACGTGTACAAACGATTTCTCTATGAAAAAGACGAATCGGAGTCTGTGTAAGGCATTGTACGTGTCATGGAGTCTTGAGGAAATGCGGATTGGGGAAATTTTTGGAGGGTTGTCACCAAATAAATTACATAATATAAAATAAAAATGAAAATTTGTTCTAAAAATGGGTTTCATTAAAATGATCAACAAATTATCTCATACAATTGTTCTCTACGATTCCTTATCTTTCTTGAAAACAATTAACTACATCTTTGTTCGTGATATTGAAAAACGTTCTTTTTTTTACCACACAAACGATGGAACCAGTAAAAAACTCATCACCAAATTTTAAAGTTGTTCAACAGTCTAACTACTTTCTTTTTGTTATGTAAAACCGCTTTTTTCATATGCTCGATTTGAGATTGAGTCTTGATCACCCTAACCATATATATATATATAAGTCTTTACATTTGTACAATCAATACAACTTAATCTCGACCGTTCATTTAATTTGATGAATATATATGTGATATATAGAAGTTTTGATTGTTTCCTAATATAAAGTATTGATCATAATTAACGAACTTTATTCATCTTCCATAAATATTAAAATTATAATAAATGAACTTTCATCATTTCCATAAACATCTCAATTTATTGGGTTGCATTGGTTGTACAAATGTGATAGGTTGCATTTGAAACGAACTCTCTCTCTCTCTCTCTCTCTCTATATATATATATATATAGGCCTAATTAAATGAGAACTAATTAGTTTGTGGTAACCATGAGTTCCAATCTCAACCGCAAATCAATAGATAAATTAGGAAATTTATAATTTGAATTAAAATTTTAATGCAACGACATTTTAGGTATTTTAAAACTCTTCTTTCTTCGTCCCCTGTTATCCGTCCTCCAGCCATCGTCCTGCGGTGATACCACAGTGGTATCACAATGCATCTTATATGTGTTTGGGTATCACACCGAGGTCGTTTGGGTGGTCGATCGGAGATGTAACACAGTGGTATCAAATGCATCTTATAAGTGCTTGGGTATCACATTGTGTCTTTTGTTTAACAGAGTCAATATTTTTACGTATCATAGTTGTATCACCGGAGGACGGGGGACGAAGAGAGAAGAGAAGACAGATGAGATAAAATATCTAAAATGTCCTTGCATTAAAATTTTAATTCAAAATTATCAAAATTATAAATTTCCTAATTTATCTATTGATTTTGTGGTTAAGATTAGATCTCACGGTAACCACAAACTAGTGAGTTCTCCTTTAAATGAACATATATATATATATATATATATATATATATATATATATATATATATATATATATATATATACAAGGGTTCAAACGAGAACACCTTCATTTTACGAGAACGCGGGAACACCTTTTACCATAAACAATAACATGTGATAATATTATTCTAATACATATGATACACATGTGATATTATATCAGAGACATGGACGACTTTGATGCGATCTAGGTTGTAGGCCAAGTCGCCCTTACACCACTAAATCCCCTAACATGTGATAAATGCGTTATTGATGTGATACTATAATCCATCAAGACCATCACATGTGGTACTAAATCATAGAGCAGACGATCTTTGGTGCGACCTAAGTCGCAAGGGACGACATCCATACACCACCAAGTCTCCTCAAGTGTATTATCACATGTGATAAAGATGTTCTTGCGTTCTCGTAAAATGAAGATGTTCTCGTTTGAATCTCCACCTATTTCTATATGTGTATATATATATATATATATATATATATATATATATATATATATATATATATATATATAGAAGGAAGATGTTGTGTTGATAATGTGATACTATGATATCTCAGTATTGTAATATACATCTTGGAGTGTAATCATGGTTTGGAAGAGGTAAGTGAATATATAAAATTATAGTTGTGAAGAGGTAGGTGAATATAAAAATGACCAAGGCTGTAGGAATATCTTTCAAATAATTAATTTATATAAAAATTAACACAAAACTCTACCTACCTGGCAGTATGTGAGTTTTTAGCTTTCTAATAGGTCAATGGTTTAAACCTCACTAAAGATAAAAAGAATATATAAGTTTATTTGTTCTATTTATCATATATAAATATTATATACTTCAAAGAAAAAGATTTTGAATTAAGGATGCAACACCATTTCAATATTCTAAAATCTTGAAAGTATCATAGGTGTTGCTTTGGTTTCCCCACATCAATGAGAACATGATAATTTGGAGGAGGGAGGTTACTAAAGGGTTGTTTTTTTTTTAATAAAAAAGCTCTTAATGTCCTTTTAAGTCTGAATTAGTCAGACATAAGAGGATTCAGTGTGTTTTTTTTTTTTTTAATTAAGAGCTTAAAAGTTCTTATTAAGTCTGAAAATTTAAGTGGTTGTGAAATCTCTTATTACCTCTTATTTCAAATTGTCGTCTACCTACTCTGATCTCTTTGCGCTCGATTTCTCTAGATCAACTCTTCTGTCTCTATCTCTCATCTCTCAACTTTGTCAACTGTCGATCCATATCAACTCTCGATCTCTCATCTTTAAACTTCAGATTTCAGACGCAAAAAACAAACAGTCTAACTGATTCAGATTTCAGACTTCAGCACCACCTCTTAAAAAACAGAATTGAATTCAGACTTCAGACTTCAGACTTCAGCACATCTTAAAAAACAAACGTCACCTAAGTGAAAAAACTAACTAAAATTCTTTCAAAATTAAAAGGGTTTATGACAAGTTGTAAGGTTGTGGCATTATTAAGTGAAAAAAAGTTTAAACACCTCTTACAAGAATCTTCGTAAGCGCTGAATGGTTTGGTACAGAATGATTAAGAAACTATCATGATATAGTACAAAATAAAATATAATTGTTTATTATTAAATCAGGGCGCTGAATGGTTAAGGGAGATCCATGATATAAAATCATTCAAAGGGTTTTAGAACCATTAAGAGACTAGACTTTTTTTTTTTTGCCAAACAAGATTCATCTTTTAACGATTCAGATGTTGTCTTTTAATGGTACTATTAAGAGGTAAACAAACAACCCCGTACCATAAGTCACGTACCATCAGTACTATTGCCCTTTTGTCGTTATTGTTATCTCGTCAACATTAAAGTTCCGATCACAAAGACAAGAAAAAGACAGTTACGTTTCTTTCATGTGGAGAATTACTAGCTAGTTTCTTTATCAAACAATTTGTAATCAACTTTAGTTTTAGAGAAGCATCGGATGCTATTATTTACATGTGAATGCTGAAAGCATACATTTGTGGTCATAGTAGTTTACAAATCAGATTGTTCAACTCACATTCACATATGCTGTCGTAAATGCACATGTGAATTGACATGAAAAAATTTCAGAAAACTGTTTATGTAATTTATATATATGTGTGCCATTATTAATTCTTGACAACAAACCTGGCACATACCATAGTTAGGGCCGTTTATCAATTTTTTTGGTTAAGTGCTGATTGGGGTAAGAGGCCTGATTGTGGTAAGAAGTCTGACTGGAGTAAGTGCAGATTGGATTTTCTTGTTTACCAAACATTTTGTATTAAGTGCTGATTGAGTAAAAATGACCATTATATTCCTCTTTCTGGAGTAAGTGCTGATTGAAAATTATTGTTTACCATATGTATTGTATTAAGTGATAACATAAAATGTTATTTATCAAATAATTTAAATATAATTTCAAATTCTTTTTGCTTACGAAAATATATTGATACTCAATATATTAACATATTACAGATTTTCATAATTTAGAACAAAATGTCAAATTTTCTAAATCACGTCATTCAAAATATAAAAAAGTTAAATTTGATCTTAATATGCAAACCTATGGCAGCCATACCATTCATACCCATCACTTTTCACCCACCTACAAATATTGTCATATCTCTTCATCCCATCAAATCATTTCACTTTTCTATGCAAATCTCTTAAGAGTGCAATTCCATCACTACCATAACTCAATATCTTGAGCTTCACCCTCCTACAAATATTGTCAGCCTACATAAATAAATTTAATTACTTATTAATTTTTAATTATTGATCATTAAATTTTTAATTATTTATTAGAATATTACAAAAATTAATTAATAAAGCGATTAGTCCCAATAAAACCGAATAAAGCCCATTAAGGCTCATTAAATCGAACAAG